CACACTCAGTCCTGCATCTGTTGACAGTCTGCTACCCTTGACCATACAAGTGCCGAGGGTGCTGGAAAGGAAGGGCAGAGTATGGCAATGAGCCGGATGAGCTGGAGCTCCCCAGGGAAGTGGCTGCTTCCATCTGGGCAGCTACAGACCAGCTTATACAGGGCACAGATATGACAGGTCAGTTAAGGGTGGCAGCCTAGCTAGACAGTTAAAGCAGAGAGCCCTGAATCAGCCACCTGGGTTTAAGTCAGCAAACCACTCATCCTGTGCAATATCTTGAACAAGTAAGGAACTTCTCTGTGCTTCAGTCTGCTCATCTGTAGAATGGGGGTATGGCACCAACTCACTGAGTCCCAGAGGGAATTCGATGAGTTAACATTCACACAATTTCAGAAAGCTTCTGGCACCTGGTGAGACCAAGTGAGCATTAGTTAAATCTTAGACAAGCATGTTTTCAAAGATCTACATTTTTTTAATTTTGTTTTCAGTAGAGCTATTAAAATCCTTCCAAAATGTTTGACCCTATTTTTCTGCCATGGAAGATGCAGCACAAAAACTCCACTTCACGCTAAAAGAGGGATGTGGCAAGTGACATTCTGATGACTTGATGCTCTGCACAGCCCAGGTTTTAGTAACGTCTTTAGAGGATTTCAAAGCCTTTTCTGTTTACTCACTTGTTCTAATGGAGGAGGTGTACAAGGAGGTAGGACAGCTGAGTTTTCAGAAAACACATCAGAAATTAGAAATTCAAAGTGGTCCCCAGACACTTGGTGTGCTCTTATTTCCAGAAGATAGAGGCGACGAGGGACTGTGGACACACTAGGCAGGAAAACCAGGCCGACAGCTTAGCATCCACCTCAGTGTCAGCCTGTGTTCATTGCTGCCCATCTCTGAGTCTTTTGTCTTTCACAGCTCTTTTAGAGATGAAAAAGACTTCAGTCATCAGCTAGGGTAACTTTATAGGTGAGGCTACCAAGGTTGAAAAAAGTGACAAGATTTCCCATCAGTGACTAGAAACCAGTCTTTTCAACACGTAGACCCACCACAAGGAATGTCACTCCACTTTATTTATCAGTTTTGGTTCCATATGACTTTGGCTTTTCCTAAGAAATTCAATACATTTTTAAAAGGTGATTGTCAACCCCCATGGAGACTTTTTAAAAGAATGAGCAGCAGGCTATGAATACAGTCACTTGTATTAACATGGAGTATGTGACCAGTTTTATAGCCTGGTCCCCTAGCCCAGTTGGTAGGGGCTGCCTGCAAACTCCTTTCACAGATTAGAAAATGTGGACCAAGGATTTCTCCAGCCAGCAGGCAACCCTGAGGCTTTTCTCTTCTGTGAGTAAAGTCTATGTCTTCAGCGCCATGGGTAGAAACTTGGGACACACACATGCGTGCACACAGACACGCACACACTCAAGACCCTTTGGACTATCAGACCTTGAACATCAGGAACCAACAGGCCTGACACTGGGCAGCTGAAGTAGGATTCTTGGGTGGGCAGAAGTGGCCACCCTGGCCAGCCCTCAGCTGCCTGGCATCAGAAAGGTCTAGTGAAGAGAGCAGGGCCCAGAAACAGCCCAAGGATCCCAGACAGGTCCTGTTTCTTGGAAGGGCCAGTAAGAGTAGGATTGGGTCAGTCCTAGGAAACTTTTGTGGCCAGGCATGTTACAAAGGCAAGGCCCCAAATGCCAGGAAGTAAGATGATGCTCCTGTGGCTGGTCTGGACACAGGCAGAGGCCTGGCTGTGAGGACCACTGCCAGGTCAGCATAGGACAAGGAACCCTGTTCACTGGATGTTCAGAATGCTGAGCTCCTAAAGGGGCCTCCTCAGACCCCTACTGCAGGCCTCCCCTAGTTGTTCATCCAGGTCCAAGTGGCCCTTGCTGCACTAAAAGGAGGACTGCAAAGGTAAGAATCAGGCAAGAAGCTGATGCCTGGGCTCTCAGCTGAGCAAAACTACCCATGCCAGAAACTCCCCCAGCAAGGGCAGGAGTATTGCTATGCGGTTTCAGACTTGCCAAGGTCCCACAGCCAAGAACCAGGCTGAGACAGCCCTGCAGACAGACACAGGACCCAGATCTGGAATGCCCAGGGGCTAGTGGCAAAGGAAAGTGACTTCACACATTTAACTAACTGAGGCAAGTACCCAGGGAACTACACTGCATGGGGCTGCACTTCCCCCCAAATAACCCCAACTCAAAATCCCTATCCGCCAATTGGCTCTTGATCCTTTCCCTGTTTCTCTGTCCTGTCTGTTCCCCAGCCCCAAATGTCCTAATGTCACTATTTTGCTCTTCCCGGATTTATTTACATATTTTTAGAGGAACATAGAGGACAGGAAATCATATCCACCAAAGGAATGAGTATTTAATGGTACAATTTCAGCCATGTGCTGAAATGAATGGAGATTTGTTTTAAGTCAGAGTAAGTTGCCCAGAATCCATTCCTCCTTTGCAACAGGGCTTCACTTTCCTTGTGGGACATTTTCTCTCCCCCAGTATGTAGTCCAAGGGCTTACTACCCATTAAAAATACCAGTTGTGACATATCTTCCCTCTCTCACCCAGATAAGGCAGGGGACGGGCTCAAGGCCTGGATGATCCAGTTGGGCAACAGTTCAACTGGTGGCTGCTCATTACAGAGGGAGCAGCAGACCTTCTAGCCCTTCAGATATCCTCTGGTTTCTGACCCAGCTGCTCCAGTCCACCCACTGATTCTGCAAGCCACTTTCCCCACAGCCTTCCAGTAAATCCCTTTTTAACCTAGCCAGTCTTTGCTGTTTACAAGGAACATGGATTTCAAGGCGATGTCACCACCACCTCTGCTCACAGTAAGGCAGCAGTGGCTGCTAGCTGGCTGGCTCAATGTCCTCCCTCTAGGCAGAGGCAGTGTCACCATCATGAACATATGTTAGTTACATGTGCAATGGGAAACAAGAGACATTCAAGCAGACCCAAGACAGAGAGGCTGGAAAATGACATCCCATCACCTGATGACAGGATGGGATCACATGCAACTCCAAAGGCACCAGACAGTATTCCCTTCTCCCTCCTGCCACCTGCATGCCATATACACACATGAACACATGCAAGCCTGCATACACGTGTGCACACATACATGGATGCGTGTACACACTTGCACACACACTCTGCCAGCAGGCATCCTGTGATCTCTCCGTGGAGAGCCTGAGAGAACATTGCAGGCCCAGTGCCTGGGTAGGGCCTGGTAACAAATGAAAAAGATGGAAGAAAAGGGTGGAGAGACACCAAAAAATGTCTGCTCTTTTGGATCCTGGCCCCTAAACACTCACAGTCATCTTCCTTCCCTGGTGGCACCCAAGGGACAAGTCTCTGCCTTTCCAATCACATACTCAGGCGTTCGAAAGAGTCACCACTCCACTCACTATACACGAGACAAGTAGGGCTACCCAGACTGCCTGAAAACAAAGCCATACCAAAGGTGTGACACCAGATCATCTCTCCCTCCACCCCCACCACTACCTTCATTCTTTCCAGTCCAGGAAGAACAGGCATCAATCAGCACTGACTGGGAGGGGAGGTGGGAGAGGCCTGGAAACATTCCCCCAGAATCAGCACAGCCACAACCCTTAAACCCACCGCGTGTAGAACTATCTCCTACAGGAGCTCTATCCATCACCAACACCAGGACACAATGGACTAGATGTGTGTGCGCACAGGTGTCCATGCACACACACACACACACACACACATATATACATGAACCTTCCCAGGCCCCGTGAGAGTCTCAGGTAAGCACCAAACAGGTGACTAAAGTGGTAGAGCTCCTGCCTAGCAAGCACGAAGCCCTGAGTTCAAACCCCAGGACCACCAAAAACCTTTTTAAATCAAGAAAAAGAAAAGAAGGCAACTTGCTTCCTAGTACGTTTATTGGAGCCTGGTTAAGCGTGAATGCAGATTGGGAGTCCCTGGCCCCAGCCCAGTCACCCCAACTGGAGCAGGGCCTGGAGGTCCATTTCTTTGTTCCCATTATAGACAACATTAAAAAAAATAAACTTTACATAATACATTTTCGCTCATCTGTAGGGTATTTTGATAGTTTTGTTTCTTAAAAAAAGGAAAGAAAGAAGAAAGCACAGGATATTTGAATATGGATGTGTATATACACATACATTGAGAAAGGAGCTGCGTATATACAGACAGTTGATGTATGTCTCAGAAATGAGAAAAGAGAAAGTTGGAAACATGGAGGGGAGAAAGAGAGAAGGAGCAAGTTTGGGAGACCAGAGTTGTGGCCACACGTCCTACTGTGGTCTCCTCTGCCCCCTCAACAGCCCCTCTCCCCAAGGGAATACCCGCCAAATGGACCCACAAGAAACCAAAAACGTCAACAAAGTATCATTTCTCTTTGACTTGGAAATTCCAGATCTTGGAGCTGGTGCCCAAGGCTTGTTCCCTCTCCAAAGGGACTTTCTCAGGCTGGCTGAGCTCCTAGGCCATCCGGGAGCTGCCCCCAGCCCCCTCTGTGCTACAGTCAGGGGGCCCAGCACAGCCAGACACAGACCAACATGAACACTTGAGGGCAGAGAGGGAAGCCAAACTATCTCCATCTTTGAAGCCAAAACGAGGGGCTTACAGGACCCAGCTAGACATCCATGGCCAGCCTTGCTTCCCCCCAACGGATGCCCTCTACTAGGGAGCAGGTCTCCAGGGTGGGCAGCTCAAGAAACAGCAGCAGTTTTCCTGTCCCCCGTCTGCATCAGGCACAGCACTAGTTCCTTTGTGGCAGGGGTCTTGTCTTGGTCTCTTTCTTCAGAAGGGTCCAGACAGAAATACACCAGGTGACACGAAGGGCATTTCCAAAGCCTCGTGCCCTCATCAGCAGTGACTGAGTGTGCCTTCCAGAGGACCTCTGGACTGGCTCTCAGGCTACCTGCCTGCTTATCTGTTTGGTTTAGAAAAACTTCTCCAGAGAAGAAACCTGGGAGGAGACAGGTTCAGAGACAAGGTGGGGAAAGATTTTCTTTGCAAGGTGTGTGTGTGAGGATGTGGGAGTGTTTCCATTTTGTCAGGCGGGAGTTCTCGTCTGTGGAGCTTGTAGAAATCTTGTGTCATGGTTCCCACGGCCTACAAGGCCAACGTCAGCATCAAGACGGGGAGCACGGTCAAGGCAGCTGACAGTCTGGCTCTGCTGGGGCCTGAGTTAGGTTTGACCACCTTTTTGCTCCCTGGCATGATATTTGTCGTGAGCTGAATCCACAGCAGGACAGACAGACACAGAGAGAAAAACAACAAAAGCTTGTCAGCAGGGTTGGAGTCAGGTAAAGAAAAGCCACTTGTCTTCCCCAAAGAGACAGCCACAGTCCTGGTGGCAGCCTTTGCATTCCCTCTGTCCACTGCAGCAGAGTGAATGCCCACGCAGGTCCTGGTAGGGCCAGAAGGTCAGCTGACCCAGCCGGGGCAATGGGTAATAGGTACAGGAGCTCTGAGTCCAAAGCTCAGTAATAGTCCCCTATGAACCGGTCTCTTGTACCCCCCTCCCCCCATTTCAACCCCTCAACCCCCAACCCCCGTTCTACCCCTGCTCACCTCTGTGAAGCACAGGCTTAACTCTTTGGAGTTGTTGGCTTTCAGCCCTTGCTCCTGTGGAGAGAAGGCACAAGTAAGAACAGGTCACCAAGCTTTTACGGGCCAGGCTTTATTCCAGCAACTAAGATAAGACCCTGCCACCCACCATTAGCATCATTAAGCATAGCACACAGATGGGTTCCATGCAGCACAGAGTGCCCCTGCCAACTCTGAAATCTTCAGCAGTTAGATCTTGGCCCCTTAGAGCTTCTGCAGAACAGAGTTTTTAACACTGCTGTTCAGTCTACAGTATTCTGTAGTCATCAGCCATCCACATGGCTACTACTTATAGCTCTTTGAAGGCAGGGACCCTGTTTTCTTTCCCTTGCACTGAGCAGTGTTTGGCACTTAGCAGCCACTCAATGACTGTTTGACTAGATACATGCATGAATGAGTAAATGAATGAACGCCACAGATCAGAAATGGCGTCCAACGCCAGCTCATTATTTGCCATTGCTGCTGGAAGGCTGTATGGGAAAAGATCATGGGCCCTCACTGAGGCTCGGAGGAGGGGGGAGGGGGATTGAGGGAGGAAGAGAGCTGTGATTGATTAGTGATGTCTGCCACTGGTGCATGTTAGGACATCTGGCAACTGTGCCTGGCCATTTCCACCCTGAACAGATGTGCAGCACCTTGGCACTTTGTAGACAAGTTGAGGAACGAGAAAGGAAAGCTGACTGGGTGACCATCCCAGGATTCTCTACCCTGGCATAACTACTTGGATGCCGGAGCAGAAGGTATGTCCAGTCCTTTGTTACCATCATCATGATAGAGATCCATGGAAACCAGCTGGGGACATGGTGCTTCTATCCTGGCTCTGAATGGCTTGGTTCTCAAGGCACTTCTGGGGAGCTGTGGCCACCAGAAGCAAACTGGAAAGCCCAAGAAATTATGCCTAAATCACTGCTTCTGGCCAGAAGTATCAATAATCCTTTGGACACCATAGGCAATCGACCACCCAGGGCATCTGGTCAGCTAAATAAGGCCCAGCTGTCACACAGAGACCCCTGCCAAGAGTAGAGTGACTGCCAACGATGGAGATAGGACCATGGTGATGATTAGGCCAGCAGAAATGGAACCAGGCCAACCAAGGAGGATCCTATTCAAGACCACAGGACCAGTGCTGGCAGGTGCCAAGCTATGGCCCAGCCAACCCACCAACTGCTTCCCTCTACAGAAGACCACATGCCCAAAGGCCCTTGAAGCCCAAAGGACTGGATTTGACTCCTCAGAATATGTCACTGCTCTAGCCAGGACTGTGGGAGGCCACTGCAGAACATGCCCACCCCACTTTCGAAGCTCTGCTGTTGTCACTATTTCCCATCTGCCCTCCCTCTGCCCCTCTACCAGTCATCACCTAGTAACATTGGTCCCCAACTGTGACTTCCACAGCTTAGCACCTACTTACACCTTTCTACTCTAATTATCAGATGTGGTAAGCCTGTCCCACCTCCTTTAAGGATCCCTGTCTTATCCCTGTGTCTTCATCTCCAACAGTGCTCACTAACTATGGAGCCCATGTGGAATCACAAAGACAGAAAGCCCCAGGGGATTCAAGGTCCTTCCCTGTTTCATACAAAGCCACTGCTTTTATTTGTTTTAGATATTAGAGCTATCCATAAAATTGTTTTTAAAATAGTCTCTGGCTTAAAAAAAAAAATAAGGCTTGAAAAAAAAAAAAACCTATCAAATCTAGCTGGCCTCTAAGGTAGGCAGCCACACATTCTGGGACCGTGGATACCAGCACTTAAGACAGTCTACAGTCCTAGACATAACCAGCTCTCCAGGGTTCTATCCCAAGGTCAACCTACACAAGGAGCTGGCAAAGCCCCCAAACCCCAAGCCCTGTGTCTCCTTCCCCAGCTCAGCCAGGTGCACAGAGATAAGAGCTGAACTTCGATGCAATCTGGGGCACCTGACCTAGGCCTGATCTCCTACCCAGAGTGAACAGGCCCTACTGGTTCCTCCCAATGTGTGGATATAGGAGACAGGGTACCAAGTATTACACAGGAAAAACCATGAGGGAGTCCTTCTAAGCCTACAGATATTTGAGTCAGCAGGGAGCAGGGCTGACTTCCATACCCATGGAGTACACTCAGGCTCCCCTGCACTGCCCTATGTACCGGCTTCCCCAAATGCTGCCCAATCTAGTTTTAGATTTTGACTGCACAGACCCATCCCAGCAGGGTCTAACCTGTGGTGTACACAGGTCTGCACATTGAGCCAAGGTGGCCCACAAACAGAACAAGAAGCAAGGCCTGAGAGCCAGAGCTCTGAGTCCAAGTTTGGTTCTGCCAATGAGCCAGGAAATGACAGCTGAGACTGTTTCCCCAGCTATAAAACAGGGCTAAACAAGCATACCACAAAGCTGAGGGCTCCCTACTCACTGCACAAAGAACCAGGTATAGTTCTGCATCCCAAAGGATGCCAAGGAGCAACGCAGTGTAGGGGCTGGGAAGGACCTATCAGATGCCAGCCAGGCAAGCTAACAGCATGGAGCCAGTGAGAGATGAGTGACCTCAGAGCAGCCTCCTGATCCCTCCAAGGCCTCTTCCATCCTCTTTTCAGCAGATGACAGCTCGAGAAGAAATGGCTTGAGAAACCTATGCCCTATCTGGCAGTAACCACCTCCAACAGCCACCCTCAGGTCCCTCAACCAGTCCTGGGCACACAGAAATTCCACCATCTACCAAAACACCAAAACACCAGGGGCTCAGATCTTTCCTGCAACTATGCAGAGCACCTGCTCCATACCAGGTCCTGTGCACTCAGTTCTGCAGGGTGACCAGGAAGGTGGTGGTGCAGCTGGGGCCTCCAGTGACACTGGTCCAGTAGGGATGATGGAGGCTCAGATGAAGCAAACGGGAGGCCAAAGTAGGCAGAGGACAACCTGGGTGGACAGACCAGGGCTCAGATGGGCAAGTCTGATGGACAGGGGGCCACAGTCAGGCAGAGAAGTTCTGATGTAGGAACCAAGGTTCCTACATCAAAGACACTGGACACAGGGCCACTTCAGGTCACACTGCTCCTGGATCCTCCACTGTGTACAGGATTCCCAAGATAAGACAACTCTTGTCCCAGCAGCCCCATGGTGGGGATAAGAGTTCCTCAACCCCACATCTACCCCACTGGGAAAAATCCTTTGTAGGAAAAGGATTTGAGAAGGAGGCAGCAAAAGGTAGCCAGGGGTCCCATTCCTGACTCTGCTTAGCCACCAGTGGCTGTGGGGCCATTGGCAAGTTACTGCCCACACCAGGCCTCCCATCCCTTGGATGGGATCCTTCCAGCCCTCACATCCACTCACCTGTGTGGGTCCCCAATGGATTGCCTGAGGCTTTCCCAAGGGAATAGGAAAGACAGGGGAGGGCAATCATCTGCGTCTTCCAGGCCATATCTGAGATGCATGAGCTCCCCTCAGCTTCCTGACCTGCTGGAAAGGTCCTCTGGGACCCCTCTATATCCATGGGTTCCCATAATTCTTGAAGGCCCTGGCAAGCTTACCACGGAGTCATTCAATCAGAGACCTCGCAAGCTAGGAGAGCCAATGGATAGGAGATGGGTGTAGGGTGACAGGAGGTGGGATATCCACACCATCCCCCAGCTAAGCAGGGTACAGCCAAGGGCATATTCACACATACTCCCAGTGTTGGCATGGGGATCAGGTGTTACTAAAAAGGAGATAATCAGGTCAGGCACTGCTGGCTCACACCTGCAATCCTAGATACTTGGGAAGATGAGATAGGGAGGATCAGTTCAAGGCCAGCCTGGGTAAAGAATCCATGAGACCCCATCTCCAAAGTAACAGAGCAAAATGGACTAGAGGTGTGGCTCAAGTGCCAGAGTGCCTGCTTTGCAAGCGTGAAGCTTTGAGCTCAAAACCCAATTCCACTGAAAAAAAAAAAAAGTACAATCAGGCCAAGTACCATGGCTCACACTTGTAATCCCAACTCCTCAGAAGGTAGCAATTGGAAATTCAGCACCAGCTCAGGTAAAAAGTTAGTGAGACTGTTATCTCAAAAAACAAGTTGAGTGTGACGATACATGCCTGTAATCTCAGGTATGCAGGAGGTAGTAGATAGGAAGAATTAAGTCCAGCCTATCTGAAAAATAACTAAAGCAAAACAGGGCTGGGGGGGTGAGGCTTAAGTGGTAGAGCGCCAGCCTAGCAAGCTTGAGGCCCTGAGTTCAAATCTCAGTACCATCAAAAAAAAGGCTATAATCAAACAGAATCAGGGGACTCTCTTGTTTCATTTTTGAGAAGGAGTCTTGGGGTTATGGTGGATGAGGTCTCCTTTGAGGGTCTCATTCTCTTCCTTTCCTCCTAGGATGGCTGTCCCCACGTATCCTGCTCAGTGGATTAGCCAAGAGGCCCCAAGTAGACAGTCCCTGGGACCAGCCTACAGGAGCTACCTACCAGGCAGCGTCCCCAGCCCCCAGGCCTCACAACACCTAACATCTGGGCAGCACTCCTCAGGTGACTGGATCATCCTGTCACCTCCCTTGAAATCAAATAAGGATTAAGACAAGCCCCTAGACCAGAACCTACAGAAAACCAGGTGTGGATGGGGGGCAAGGTCACCAAGCAATGTATGCTTTGGCCAATTGCTGAGGAAAGGCAGGCACATGCACACAAAAAAGGGAACTCGTGTCATCGGACACCGAAAGGGCTGGGGTGGCGGCCTGAGGCCACAGCTCCAAACTCCACCCACATGGAGAATCCCAGTGAGTGTCGACAAGAGTAGAATCCTTACGCTGATGCAGTATCTCCCCCAGGTGATGTGGATCCAAAAGGATTGGGAACAAGAGTGCCTTGTGAGAGCCTAGAAGGACCTAGAGGGACAGGTGGATCGCATCAGAGCCTCGTCAATTCATAAGTGGCCCAGCCCTGACCAGCCAAACTGCCCTCACTGTAGCATGGAATTTAGCTGAGAAGTATCTGCATAGTAGAATCCTGTGCCGCCACTGATAGATAGTCACTCAAGTACGCCCAGTGTGATTAGGAGCAGGGGACCCCATGGTGTGGGGAGAGGGTTTCTCTAACCACCCCCACCCGAGCTATGATTTGATGGGCACCCACAAGGGATCCACTCAAGTCCTCATCCTTGTGCATGAATTGATTCCAGGAGCCTGCCACCCTGCTCAGCTTGGCATCCCCACTACCTCACACCAAGCAAGTCTTGTTCCCCCTGAATCTTCACGTAGGTTATGCCCTGCTATTGTTCTTCAGACCCCACCAATGTGTTCAGCAAGTCAGTACCAATGCCTGCTTGAAACAGTCCCTCTTCCCTCTGCTACCTTGGAGTTTTCACTAGGTCTCTTCTAAATTCTTTGTTCAAGATGTGTGTGTGTGCAGCAGAAAAGCTACTACAATGAAAGGTGTGATGGTATGCATAGCTCAGCACAGTGAGAGGCTGAGAGGAGGCCCCAGTGTGTACCTCCACAGTGCTATCTGTCCCCTGCCTTGATACTGACTGTAGTTCACAACTGATGCCTATTTCATTGTTTAACCCTCAACAAGACCACAAGGACCACAAAACCCCCAGCTGTGTTGACTTTGTTCACCCGTGTATCCCTAGCATCTAACAGAAGGCCTAGCACACACTGGCTCCATAAACCACACTGGATGGATGGATGGATTGGAGGATGGATGGATGGGTGGATGGATGGATAGATGAATGGATGGACAGATGGATGGATGGACGGATGGGTGGATGGATGGATGGGTGGATGGACAGACAGATGGACAACAGGGGCTACAACAGGGGCTTTGGAATCAGAGGGAGTTTTGAAATTGTATTCCACCAGCAGTCAGCTGGACGATCTTGGGTAGTTCATATTCCTGCCTGCAAAACAAGAAGGCCAGTGCCTCGTTGTGAGAGTTCAATGAGATGGGCAGAAAATCCTACTAGCACACTCCCTGGGAGCAAGCAAATGGTTGATAAATGTCAGCCACTATGTTTTTCTAATGCACCCTGCCCAGTGCCTAACACAGTTCTGTGAGATAACAGGTATTTCCTACTTGAATGATGGATATCTAGATGAATGGATGGATGAAAAGGGATCCCCACCAGCTCCTGCCTGTCTCTTGGGTTCCTGAGCTAAAGGAAGGATCATCAGTGTTTCCTCCATGGCCCCAGTTTAGTGGTTTCCCACATTTCCTCTGATGCCATGGGTGCTCCTCCAGTTCCCAAGCTGCAGAACCACTCCCCTCACCTGGACAGAGGTGCAAGTGGTGATGACACTGGTCCCCAAGCTGGTGCTATCACTGAGGTCATCTGGCAAAGAAGGAGTCTTCTCCACCCGAGGGACCTGGGTAGCCTGGAATGAGGGGTTCTTGGGAGACATGTTCACATCTGTGCCATTGCCAAAGGCCTGGATGGCATTCCCTGGAGAGAGGGAGACAGGCAGATGCAGAGAAATCAGGAACCAAGTCCATCACTTCTGCGCCAACTCACATCCTGACCACTTCCTGCCCAGCCCAGAAGCTGGAGACAAAGGGCAGCACACCTGAACTGAACTTTGCCAAGGCTCCTCTTCAGACCTACAGAGGTGTTCCATTTGGAGAGGAAAACAGCAAGAGAGAGGCTGGAAATGACAGAGAAGCCAGAATGGAAAGGAGGAAAAGAAGGAAGTGGGAGGCATGGGAGTCCATAGGGAGGAGGGTCGTGCCATGGGTGACAAGAAGCCTTCTCCTCGGTGGTCAGCACTGCAGACCCCTCCCATGGAAACCTCCCCCCATCTTCCCTAGGCACAGGCTCTCCTGGCTCTGTCACCTCGGATGCTTCCAGGTCCCCACTCCACACTCACATGATATACTTTCCCTGCACAGCTCCCCCATTCACGCTGTCAACTAAGACTAATTCACTGGGACTAACTAATCAGACCTCTGGGCAAAACTCATCCCTGTAATTGAGATTCACCCTTATAACCAAGCTTTTAGAGAAATCTACCTCCGTGTCCCCAGTGTACTTCAAAGTCCTCATGTCTAAACTGCACTAGGCACCTCTTCCTACCATTGCCAGGCTTGAAGGGGTCATCTCTAATCTACCCAAGTCCCTCATCACAGAAACCTGGCAGGGAGTAACCCATGGTGCCTCCCTACCTACCCATGGACAGTCAGCTGAGCCCTGGTCTAAAGGTCTCTCCATCTGTCATTACCATCCGTCTCCCACTTCTCTGGTTCCCATTCGTCATTGTCCTCTCCCATGGACACCTACCACAAACTTCCTACGGTACACTCCATATCGGGTCGCCTGTCAAATCATATTCCTAACCCCAATGACCTCCACACCGCAACCAGGCTCATCTAATCTCAACCCCACCTGCTGGCATCCCTTTGACCTCCTATACCACCATCAACGTGCTGCCTACAGGACAAGAGAATCCAAACAGTTTGGGGTCTGTATGAGGAGGACTACCTGTCGAGACAACTGTCACTCAATCATCTTGGATGCTATGTGGCAAGACTTAGTGCTTTGCAGGTCTTTCAACAAATTTTGGTCTTCTGGGGAGCCCTGTCAGGGTAAACCAGCAGGAACTCCCTTCTTTCTTTCTTTTTCTTTCTGCCTTCCTCCCTTCCTTTCTTCCGTCTTTCCTTCCCTTTTCTTTTCTGTCTTTTTGAAGGTAATGAGCTCATTGGCTTCATGCTTGCTAAGCACGTGCTCTGCTGCTTGAGCTACGTCTCTAGCCCTTTACGCTCAGGTTATTTTGGAGATAGGGTCTCTCTTCTTTGCCCAGTCTTGCCTGGACCACAATCCTCCTATTTCATGCTTCCTACCATAGCTGAGATGACAGGCATGCACCATCATCCCAGCTTTTTTCCACTGAGATGGAATCTCATGAACTTTTTACCTGGGCTGGCCTGGAACAGCAATCTTCCCAAATAGCTGGGATTACAAGTATGTGTCATTGTGTTCAGCTATTGGGTGAGATGGGGTCTCTCAAACTTTTTGCCCAGGCTGGTCTTGAACTATGATCCTCCCAATCTCAGCCTTCCAAGTAGCTAGAATTCCAAGTATGAGCCACCAGTGTCCAGCTGTGCCCTGCCTCTTCAACTGACCAATGCCCATCTGTCTATCAGGGCCTTGGAGAAGCCATCATGGCCTCTCTCCTCTTGGTGACATGGGCATCTACACACTGGATTCTGAAGAATCACATGCAGACTGCACCCTGGGATTGTTACTCTGTACTGGGATTACAGGTGACCTCAGTTTACCTGCATCCACCTGCATGCTCCTTAGTGGCAGGTACTAGTAAAAAGATAGATGGGCAGAAGGAAGAAAAGAGAGAAGGAAAGAGGGAAGGGCTGTGCAAGTGGCATGGTCTGCTAAAGATGTCAGAATGCAAAGATCAAAGGCAGACTGAGCACAGCTGTGCCCCCTTCTCTCTGCAACCTTTGGATTAGGAGTTGAATGACTTTAAGACAATGTCACCCACTCCAAGAGAAAAAACTCATTAAAGGAAGAAGTAACAGATGCCTGAGATTTTCATGAGAGGGCTCAGTCCCCAAAGGAATCTGGCTAAAGCTGTCAGAATACCAGACTAGAAACCTGCATCCTTGACTTGACGTGGGCTAAACTGAGACTCTCCTACTGACAGCTCTGGTGTGGATCTCCAAGAGCTCACAATCCAGAGTACCTGCAGGCATCCCTCAGGGCAGAGATACCCACATATGTCACTGGTCATCCCAGTGATAGGAAGAGCAGATGGCCACCACAGGCTCCAGGTGGCAGGTGGGGGTGGAGCAAAGGGACATGTGGAGTTTGGGGAGGGCATTCCCGAACTTACGGAGGCACGGGTTCTCCGTGAAGTCTCTGAGGAACTTCTCACATTCCTCCTCCATGTTCCCGCTGCCACGACAACTGCACCAGGGGGATACCACGATGCTGGTGGGACTGGAGTCCACATAGTTGGGAGTCATATCAAACCCTGGACAGGGAGGAAAAGAGGGAAAAAATAGCCATAGGCCCTTCCCTTTGGGTCCCCAGACCCCAGGCACAACTGGGCAGAGGCTCATGCCTGCCCTCCCATCTGCCCCACAGACACACATACACCCCAACTTGCAATCTTAACTCTGACCGTTACCATCCCAGAGACCATGGTGTCAGCAGGAGCAGAGAGGTCAGAGGTATAGAAGACACTGAACTCTAGATCACCAGGGCTCCATTCCAGCCTACAGGCCCTTCCTTTCTCCCTCACCACCACACAGAGCATGTCTTCTAGGACCAGGGAGATAAAGGCTCCTGGATCAGATCCCAGTGCCACTGTTCACCAGCTAGGTGAGTCTGGTTAAGTTACTGAATTTCTCTAAGCCTCAGTTTCCTCATCTGTAAAAACCTCCCAGGTGAGAGCTGCTGGCAGAATACAGAAAGTCCATGTAAACTGCTTAGCATAGAAATCTAGAAGGCTATTTCTTATTTCCAAAGCCTCATAAGACCCCTGGAGCCATCCCCCAATAACAAATAGCTGGCCTCCCTCTGTTCCATAAACAACTGGCCTCCCTCTGCTTTCCCCACAACACTCTATCTGAGTCCACAGCAGAGATGGCCGAACTCAGGTTGTCTCCGCCACCAACCCTGAACTGAGGCAGCCTCCAACCCTTAAAGCCGGGGCAGCAAGAAGCCAGTGAGTTCCAACAATGCAAGGAGAGCTTACCAATCATGCCAGCATAGGAACCTAAACACGCCTGGTAATTGTCTGCAGGGCAGCTGGTGAGGGTCCGGTAGGAGGCTCGACAGTTGGCATGAAAATCGGCCAGCCGGGACCTGGTGTTGGGAGAAGACCCGAAGGAGGAAACAGGAGTTTAGTCTGACAGCCTGTGTGTAGCTAACAGCTCTGCCCTGCAGCTCCCCAGGAATGGAGGAAGCCAGAAAAAGGGAGGGAGGAAAATGGGGGGAACCAAGCCTTGGGGGCCTCGAGCAGCAAGCAACTTGAAGATAGTCTTTCTGGAGAGCCAGGCACATAGTGCAGCTTAAGCAAAGTCCAGAAATTGACTGACAAAAAAGGGCTCAAAAAGACACTGCAACCGCACACTTCAAATGGCTCTTCTCATGAGAACACAGAGTCTCCAGGCTGGGCTCACACAGAGTGCTGGCACCAGGCAGGAGAGCTGGGTTCTGCCTTCTGTTAGGCCACACCTCTGGATGATCTTGTCCAAAGCCTTCAATCAACACATTAGTCTTCCCACCACAAAAATCCCTGTCCAGCCACCTCTAGGATCATCTGAGGCTCAAAGGAGCCAGCATCCAAGGGACCAGGGCAGGGAGGGGAGTGGTTTCAAGATGAGTCATCTCACCAGCATTTCTGCCTGGGCTGTTCTGTATGCATCAAAGCAAAGGCCACCCTGTTGCCCTTCCCCCACCTCCCTAACCTCACTGTGGCAGAACCAGTCTTTTCTTCCCTTGGTGACTTGCAGCATGCTGTCACGCATTCCTCTCTGACAGCGCCTGTGACACTGTATCATAATCACTCATGGTGCCATACTTGGTCATGAACTGCTTAAAGACAACTGCTGTCTGACTGGGTCTGTCCCCAGCCTCAGAGGTGGACAGAGCACCAGGTGCCCAAGTGGAACACACATGGTAATCCCCATTCCTTCTCTCTCCTGCCCTAGGGCCCTGGACTCAGAGGTTACCATCATCCCCAACTACAGAGGACACTTCTCTCCCCATCATGTCAAACAGAAATCATCACCTCTTACAGGTGAGTGTCCTTGGCCTTGTGGCCCCATGTGTCATATCCTCTGAGTCTCACAGTAGCTCCAAGAACCAGTAATAATGCCAGTGACTGGCATTTTCCAGTAATGAGCACAGCACAGGCCCCCAGCAGCCATGTGCCCCGCTGGTCTTCTCTGGTGACTCCACAAACCAGCTACCGGTAGGGCCAGAACCCAGGTCAACTGGCCCCTTTACTGGCACAAAGTAAAGAACATCGCAAAGTTATCCTCAAGTTCACCCCAAATTCAGCTCTCCTGGCTCTTCACTGGTACTGTGCCGCATTTGAGAAAGGCAGGGAGAGAAAGAAGAGGTTAAGAATGGATCCAGCAGAGGAAGTGCCCAAGAGTCTGAGAGGATGCCCACCACACAGGCCCAAAGGCATCAGGAAGAGGGCAGGTGAGCTATGTCCCACTGCTATGGCTTGCCTGAGGGCCCCATGGTCCTGAGGGATGGTGTTGAGAGGGAGGAAGTCCCCTGAGGAGATCTGACCCTGAGAAGGACTTATGTGCCACAGCCCGTGGAAGGTCATGAACACCAAACCAACAGTCGGGCAGAATTCTCAGCGTGGCTCTACCCTGACTCTCTGGGTGACTGTGGGCAAGTCCCTTTCTTCTTAGGGGCTCAGCTTCCTTATTTTCAAATGAATAAAAACAGTGAAGGATAAGAAGTTCCTTCACTGGGATAATGAAAAAGTTCTGAAGATGGAGAGTGGGGAAGGTTGCACAGCGCTGCAAATGTCCTTAGTGCCCCTGTGCTGTGCACTTAAAAATGGCTAAAACGGCAAATCGATGTTATTTTGCCACGATGGCTTTTTAAATGGTAACTTTCTGTCTCTTGTTTATAATTTAACCCTCACAAAAACCCTCATAGGGCCCCTCGTAGGGTTTATTACCCCACTTGACAGATGAGAAGGCTAAGTCTCAGAGAAGCTAAATTAGTCCAGGATCACAGAGCTCCTGAGCAGTGGAGCCAGTACTCAAACCCAGAACTCCAAAAGCAGGAGGATACCCTTTCTGGCAGGCCTTGCTGCCCCTCTGTGCGTGTGTGGAGGGCCAGGGTGGGGGTGGGGGGTCCCTTTGAGGGTCCTTCCATAGTCCTCCTTCTGTGCCCATGAAAGCAGTGTCATCTTCCACAGGAGAAGAGCAGGAAATCTACAGTTGTGTCAGCCTCCCTCCGGCCACCAATACACCCGCTGCCTCCCCACCTCCCCAAACAGGAAAAGAGCATGTCCAACCATGCAGGTTAAGACTCATCCCTGAACATCAAAACCAGTAGGCGTCCCACTCTGTCAGCTACAGGAGAAGGAGAATGGTCTCTGCCTACATCCTGGAGCTCTAGAGACCTGGGAGGTTTGAGGGGACAGAGAATCTAACAGACAGATGGGATTTGGAGACAAACAAAATAAAATCTGTTCTTCCAAAAATATGCTGCCATCCTAATCCCTGGTTCCTATGGATGTGACCTTACTTGGAAATAGGGATTGTGGATGTAATCAAGTGAAGATGAGATCAAAGTAGATTTGGGTGGGTCTTAAGTCTAAAGACTCATGTCCTTATAAAAGCAGAGACAAAGTCACCCAGAGAAAAGTCCAGATGACCACAAAGGCAGAGACTGGAGTGAGGCATCCACAAGCCAAGGGTAGCCAACACCACCAGAAGCTAGAAGAGAGGCATTGAACATTCTCCTCAAGCTTCCACAAATAGCATGACTCTGACGACACCTTGACCTCAGACTCCTGGCCTCCACAACTATGAGAGCACATTTCTTTTTTAAGCTGCCCAGCTTCTAGTACTTTGTTACAGCAGCCCAGGAAATTTTGGCCCCTTCAAAGACTTCAGAGTTTTCTTTGACCAAATCTCTCTCCAGAAGGAGCCAAGGGGAAAGGGTCAGGCCCCCATCACTGAGTGGGGCTGCACATGGGCAAGAACACAGATCCTCATACAGTGCAGGCTGGCTGCAACAGCACAAGGAAAGTCACTAGTTACCATCTTCATGCCAAAGAGGAGTGTAAACACCATCTCTCAGCTGAAATACAGGAGCCTGCTCCAATGCCATTGGTTATACACAGGGTCTGTCTCCTACCTCCTGCCTCTCCAAGGTCACCTCCAGTCCCTCCTCACAGGAAGTCCTTTTCTCCTGGCCACATGGATTTGTCTTATTTCTATATTCCAGCTGTATCTAATCTGAACCAGGTGACTTAACTTACTAGTACTGCCTCGTTTGGTCTCTCCAGTAGAACCTACATTGCCAGTATAGCAGACCACTGTTTCCTTCATCCATATCTTCCATGGCCCCACTGAACAGGGATGGGGTAGTAGATATCCATTCATCCTAGTTCCAAATATATGTCAGCCCGTCACATGACTGACGCACTAAAGATGGGAATCTCAGGCATGTTGACACAATGTCTAAAGGGAAACCCCAGTGACAGGATCAGGGCAGTGTGCATACCAGGCTAGGGTGCAGGACATGGGTAAGATGTTACTGTCAACTCACTTTCTGGGAGACAACATTGCCTACCACAGCAGATCTGAGAGCACCAGCTGGACCTACAGGTGTCTGGAGCCTCTCACACAGCTCAAATCCCCAGAAGCACCCGAGGGTCCTTGCTCTCCTCTAACAAGGTTAGTTCTGAGGCCAACCGACACTGGGAACCATGAGGGTCTGGGCTGGCCTTGCCATCTATAGGGACTCTCAAAATGTCACAGGCTCCCCAGGCTGGAAACATGAATGGCACAATAGGGCAAAGGCCTTTTGGGGAATTCCGATTATTGTCCTAATGGGCTAGAGAGGCAAGGTGTCAGGAGGAGAGATGGAAGTAAGAAAGCAAGCCAGGAAACAGGAGGTGAAAGAGTACAGACCTCAGGTGGGCTACCCACAGGGGGTCCTCAGCAGGTGGGAAGGGGCCAATCAGCTTCTGGGTGAGGAAGGAGCATCTTAGTCCCTCTGCTGTGTGACTTGGGATGTCTGGGCATGTCTCTGGTGCTCAGTGTTCCCCATTAACAAATAGAAAGAGCCACACATGTCTGTCTCCTTCCCACGGTTATGATAAAGAGCCAATGAGATAAAACTTGAATGAAGAGAACAGATGCCAAGGTAGATGGGAATCATCATCCTTGTGTCCTCCTCCATACTGACGTCTAGTCCCCAGCACTGTGCCTGCCACTGGCAAGTGAAAACAGGGAGCAGCTTTCCCTGGTGTCTCCCATAGAAGGAAAACATAGCCATGTACCATATGCCAAGGTGAGTGTGGGTACCATGCAGGACAGAATCAGCCATGTAAATGTGACAGGCAGCTCCCTGTCTCCCCAGGCTCCAGAGGCAGCCTGCCTGCCCCCAAGCAAACCCCACCCTCCTGACTCCCCTCTCCGTACCATGCTAAGAACACAGGAGGAGGAGAACAGTCCCTGGAAGCCCAGGATTGTCCACAGGGCCCCTTCACCAGCCCCCAAGGTGACCTATAGGGAAACTCCATCTCACTCCTCTATGGCTATAGCCTACTTCCTTCACATCAGGCCTGATGGTTGGTTCCAGGCCTCAGAGAGGAAGCTGTACAGAGTGAAAAGACAGGGAGAGCATGGACTTGAACCAGCAGACAGCGAGGGGAAGGCGAAGGGAAGGGAAGTGGCTAGCCTTCTGTTGTCCACTTCATTCTTAGCATCGAGGTGATCTTGGCAAGAAAAAAGTGACAAATGGGGCCATTTAGGACATTGCCACATCCAAGTCTCCAGGAGGCCTTTGATTGCTCAAGTTTCTCTCTGCCTCTCAAAGCACAATAAATCCATGGTAGCAGGCTCCCTCTGTCAGCATAAAAGACTAAGTGGTGTCAATTTCCTTCAAGCCCTTGACACACTCCAACTCCAACCATGATGAGAGCCGGTCACGTGAGCATTCTAGCCCAGCCCTGGTAGGCAACGGTTCTCCAAGGCAAATGTTACCCTTTCATAATACATGATGAGCCAGCTGGTGATGTCTATCTCATCTCTAGGCCAAATGTATGTCACTCCTTTCCCATACACCGGGAGGGCATCAGTCTCTTGGACTCCACT